AAACATAATAAATTTATTAATTTATTTTCTTTTAGTGTCTTCTAAATTTTTACATTCATTTAAAACAAAAATTTATTATATTAGATATAACAATATAATTAATAATATATATTTTATAAAATTATTAATATTTTATATATAAAAAAAAGAATGAAAAAAAATTTAGTGGGGCAAGTGCCCCCACTATGATTAACTTAGATTTGTCCCTGCATACGGTTGTGGTGAAATGTTAGTCTTGTGTATCCTCTTCCTTTACTTCAGGTTCTACCTCTTCAAGAACAGGTTGTTGTTGTTAGGGTACATCGTTAATGACTTCAAGGAAAAATACTATGTCATTTCATCATTTACTGTATAGTGTCAATTTGGTAATAAGTGATTCACTCCAGTTTGAAATGAAATAAAATATGCTATCATTGTCTTTAGTGATACATTGCATTGTCCTTAATAATACACTGTATAACCTAACTGTTTAGCAATTGAAGTTATCAATTTCCATTGACAATATTACCAAATTCAATGTTTGAAATGTTTTGTACCTTGGGTCTTTTTCCTTCCATGATTCACAACCGTGAACTATAATCATTGATCATTTATGCTTAGCAGTCTGGAACCAGAACGACCCGTTCTGGTTGCACTTTTAGTGTGTAAATTTTGCAGCTGGAACGGGCCGTTCTAGATGCAAAATTTACACACTAAAAGTGAAACCAGAACGGCCCGTTCTGGTTCCAGGTGTTATAAAAAAAATGGCATCCACCTATGCATCTACGTGGCATCCACGTAGCCACACAGTTAACTCCGTTTAAATAATTTGGACGGAAGTCCCAAATTGAAACCAATTAATTTATTAGGGACCAAATTGAGACCAATTAATTTATTTGGGACCAAATTGAGACCAAAAATAAAAGTGGGACTAAATTGAAACAAATAATTATTATAAAAGACGAAAATAGGTTTTTAGCCTAAAAAATATGAGATTTAGATTTTTAAAATTTTGATCATTAATATCCCTCCTACTTGTGATTTTAGGTAGAGTTCAATTATTATTTTTCAATATTTTTATTTGTTATGAATGTGCACATTATTTCTACATATCATCTAAAATATAAATTTCATATATTAATGTGTATATTAAGAAAATAAAATCTTCACTAATCCAATGCTTTTATTTGTTATATACTTGACAAGTATTTTCTATACATATCATCTTAAATATAAATTTAATATATTTAATATATAAACTGTGAAGATAAAAAGTTTTAAATATTTTTTTCTAATTTAAAAATATTTTTAAGATACGGTATCAATTTATTAAAATTTATGTGTATGAAATATATGATATATTTTTTTTAAAAGATAAAAATCTAGTCATATAATTCAATTAATGATTCATCAGTTCGATTTCTGACTCTCTAATATAATATCGTGATTGATTCAATTTTTAAAATATTATTTTCATACATTTTGTTTTCTCCTACACCAATTAAGGAAATTAGTATTAAAAATGTAGGTGAATTCATCTCATAATTATAATGAATCTTGTCAATTACATGTTGCACATTATGTAAGATCCGTTCGTGTAGAAAATGAATTTACAAAATCAATTATGTGAAATTGATTGCAAGATTATGATATTAAAACTTTCTATTTCTAGAATCAGGCTAACAAGTCATTAAAATTGTTCCTTCTCAATAATGTTTTTCTTGTTATCAATCTAATATTTTCCATTTAATATTTTTATTTATGTATTGTATTTGTTTCAATTGCCCAACCACAACAGAATAAGGCTTTTAAAAAAGGTTGAAAATATGTGTTATGAATCTCCATTTAAAATAAAATACGGTGAATCATCAATAAATAAATAAACCCTAAACCCTAAACCCTAAACCCTAAACCCTAAAGATTTAAGAAGAGAATAGGCAATTGAATAACTAAATTAGTTGCAATCAATTTCTATCTTATAAATTAATTATTGTACAAAAGAATATGAATTAAAATTTTAAAAGATAATTTATTTACAATTTTAGTCAATCAATTAATTAATATAATCCAAAAGAAATGACTACACCATTATGATTGAAATAGTAAGAAGCATGAAAATTTAGGTTCATTCTCATTACAACTTTACAAAAAAAAAAAAAAAAGTAGTGACACATATCAACTATTCATATTTCAATAAAATTGATATTCACTCCACAATTTATTATTGTGAAATGAACTAACATGTAAGATTCCCAAATTGTGAATATGGAAACTAAAGGTGATCAATCAAGTTCTCCAACAGAGATTAATTACTGGTAAAATCGATGAATATTTTTTATCAATAACATAATTATATATATATGAGGAGGGTTCAAACGATACCAGTGTAACTTTTACTAAGTGTTACATCGCTTAATAACTTTATATTAAATGTGAATTTTAAAAATCCAACCGTTAATTGAAAGTTCATATCTCTTAGATCATATATGTCAAATTTTGTTAAAATTGAACAACAACTTGAAGGTAATCAAAGTGTTCATATTTTAATATATTTTGAAATATATATATTACGTCAATTTTATTTTATGAGAATGAAGTATCAAATCATCTTAGATTAATATAAAATGACATATATGATCTAAGAGATATGAAATTTCAATCTAACAGTTAGATTTTCAAAATTCACATTTAATATAAAATTATTGAACGGTGTACCACTTAGTAAAAGTTATACCGGTATCGTTTGAACTCTCCTCTATATATATATATAGAGAGAGGTTATAATTACACCGATGTAACTTTTACTACGTATTACATTACTCAATAACTTTATATTAAATATGAATTTTGTAAATCCAACCGTTAGATTGAAAGTTCATATCTCTTAAATCATATATACAAAATTTTATATTAATCCAATATGATTTTTAAATTTTTTGCCAAATGTCATTTTATTATGCATTCGGAGGATCATTCGGATTTTTTTCCGAAATGTATAGTATCTCTCTCTTTAAAAAGATGGTGATATTCAACATGTTGGATCAAGTGAAAAGCTAACCAACAAAGTATTGTTAAGTAAAATTTTTGAGCAACCCATAAAAACAAGATTGACATGTGTCGTTTCAAGAATGATTGATTGTCTAAGAAAATAAATATGTCCTACACTATTTTTACCTTTAACTTGATTTTTGCCTCAGAATTACTAAGGTTTTAACAAGACATTCTTATGGTGTCAAAAGAAAAAATAGACATTCTCCAATAATAAACTTACCAAAAAAATCCAGTGTTAAGAATATTTAATAATAATTTTCCATATTCCTTAATAAAGTCTTCATATTCCACATTAATACATTAAACCATTTGTAATCATTGGATTACATATTTATAAATAAGTTATCTAATTTTGTGAAAAAATATTATAAGGAATTCTCCATTTTCTTCGTACTCAATCTGTCCATTTTCTATCTTTCGCGCTTCTTGTAGTTTATAAGTTTACGTTGATTTTCCTGACATCTTACTTTTGAAAGATAAAAAATAATGTCAATGTTTTCTTTCTCATGTCCTAAAAACGAACAAGTGACCCTCATTTTGGGGAGAAATGTTGAAATAATTTCATTACACTATTTGTTTTGAACCAAATGACGTGGAGAGAAAATAACTTAAATGAATTTTTTTTTACTAGGTTGTTTAATAAGAGTTGTGTTAAATAATAAATTTATGGAATTAGATTCTACATTTGTAAATTTCCTCTCAATGAAAATGACGAAGAGAGAAGAGAAGTTATTTTTTCTTACACTTTTGTGCCAAAAAAAATTTTCTCTCGTGCCTATGGGTCTTATATTTGAATGTAATTTTTTTTATTCGAACTGGTATGTTTGTTATTTGCGGAGTTTGCATTTATTAGACTTGCATCTCAATTTTATAACATTATTTATTTATTTATTTATTTCAAATTAAATAAATTCATTTTTATCTTATTTCTTATTTATTTTTACTTACTTATTTTATTATCTTCTATTTCTTTCTACTCTATTTCTCATACTTTCTTTTTCTCAATTAAACATCGTGTTAAAGACATGGAGAAGCCTCAGGTAGGATTTTTCTCACGTATTATACATTTTAAAATATTTTATTTAGACTAAATTATACTTTTGGTCACTCTATTTTTATCAATTTGTAATTTTAATTCTTTATTTTAAAAAAAATATTCGGTATCTCTAATTTTAAAAATACAAAATTTTAGTCTTTTTATCAAATTGGTATTTATTAATCATTCAATTTTATCATTTAATCATACTTAAATGATGTACCATTTAATAGCATAATATTGGAAGATAAAAAAATCTTTAAAAAATATGTAAATAAGATCTATTAATAAAATAAATATCAAACAGTCATTAAAATAAACACAAATAAACATCTTTTACATGATATTTTAAATTTTTAAATTTATATATTATGTTATTAAATATTAGGTTACTTAAATAATGACATTGGACGATTTCAATATTTAACAATCAACGAACATTAAATTAATAATATGACTAAAATTTTGTATTTTTAAAAATAAAAGATTAAATATCTCTACTTTTAAATAGAAGAATTGAAATTATAGATTAAAAAAATAAAGAAATTAAATACAATTTTAACTTTTTATTTATTATTTATTGAAAAAAAAATTATTTATTATAAATTATAACTATATAAAATAAACATTTGTTTTATAATTATAGGGGTTATTATATACTTGAATTCAAAATACTAATTTAATAGTATAATATTAAATATATCATAATTTTATGATATTTCTGGTTAGTAGCATAGATTGATTATATTTTGTTCCAAAGAAAGTAAAATATTTATTGTATTTGTATTTACAATTACAATTAACAACTCGTAATTTGGTGTTGAGAAGGAGGAGGGGAGCGGAATTTGAAATTCAAAAAAAACTATCCGTTGCTCAACGATTAAATATTTGAATTATTAATATTCCAAAATGTTGCAACGGCCTTTATATTGAATTGAAGAGTGAGATGATTCATTTCATCTGATTTTGAATTGAGAAAACAGAGATGGAGGAGACGGGAGTACTATCGGCGAAAGAGGCATTTGAGAAGCTTGAGAAGGTGGGAGAAGGGACATACGGGAAGGTGTACAGAGCAAGAGAGAAGGCCACTGGGAGGATCGTCGCACTCAAGAAGACTCGCCTCCACGAGGACGAAGAAGGTGTCCCTCCCACCACTCTCCGTGAGATTTCCATTCTGCGAATGCTCTCTCGCGATCCCCATGTCGTTAGGTATTCCATTCGATTCGATTCGATTCCATTTTTAATTTTCTTCATGTTTCTCATTTCTCTGTGTTTCCCTCCACAGGTTACTGAATGTAAATCAAGGTCTCAACAAGGAAGGCAAGACAGTGCTCTACTTGGTATTCGAGTATATGGACACCGATCTCAAGAAATATATCCGTTCTTTCCGTCAAACTGGAGAGAACATTCCACCTCAAACCGTCAAAGTAAAATCCTTTTCAATTTTTCAGATCTCTCTGTATATATTCAATATTCGCTTTCTTAAACCAATGTTGTTACAGAGCTTGATGTACCAACTTTGCAAGGGCGTTGCTTTCTGCCACGGTCATGGAATCTTGCACAGGTAATTTAGGTTTAGGGTTTAGGATTACCCTTTTTACCTTTCATTTCGCAGGCACTTGAACATATTATTTATAAAATCTTACATCTTTCCAATGAAAATTGAATGTTTGTGAAGGGACTTGAAGCCTCACAATCTCTTGATGGACCGAAAAACAATGATGCTTAAAATAGCAGATCTTGGACTCGCTCGAGCATTCACTGTACCTATTAAGAAATACACGCATGAGGTAAAATGACAGCACTTACGCAAGATAGACCCTTTTATTTTTGTCTTCTCTAACACCCAATGTCTCTATTTTCAGATACTAACACTTTGGTATAGAGCCCCTGAAGTCCTCTTGGGAGCTACCCATTACTCAATGGCTGTCGACATGTGGTCCGTTGCCTGCATATTTGGTAAGGGAAAGGATCTTGTTTAACCGAGTGGTGTTTTCTTGTTTGTATGTTAGGTAGGGGATTTTCTAATCTTTTTTGCATCTCAAATGTAGCCGAACTTGTCACTAAACAAGCACTCTTTCCTGGTGATTCAGAGCTGCAACAACTCCTTCATATATTCAGGTGATGCGTTTAGCAATAAGATGTGTGTTTGTCATCTCCTGTTTAGTTTGCTTCATTTTGCATATTGTTTGTGCAGGCTATTGGGCACTCCTAAAGAAGAGATGTGGCCAGGCGTGAGTAAACTAATGAACTGGCATGAATACCCCCAATGGAACCCTCAAAATCTGTCAACGGCTGCTCCAAATTTTGGTGAGCTTGGCCTGGATCTGCTATCTGTAAGTTTCTCCATAACTAACTCCTTCTAGTACCTGCTGTTGATATTTTTTTAATTTTTTTTTTTTTTTTTTTAGCAAATGTTGAAGTATGAACCTTCCAAGAGGATTTCTGCAAAGAAAGCAATGGAACATCCTTACTTTGATGATCTGGACAAAAGGCACCTTTAGAAAGAACAAATTGAACCAAGATTTGGACGTACAAGTTTATGACTACCAATTTGCTTTATGCTTTTCTCGAGCGTTTGTTGTAATGTTTTAGGGCGATTAACTTTCTGCCGTTATATTTTTCATATTCAAGGAGTTATGGAGTGATTGCACTTTGGGATTTATTTCATAGTCTCTAAAATAAATCACTTCTATGTTTACATGTCATTCTAATGAAAATATCAAGTTCTTTACCTGTCATTCTATGGAAATTCCCTCTTCTTATCTTACTAACTTCCTCATCTAGATATCCGCCACTATTATCTTCATTAACATAAAATAGTAGGATGGTCAATGATATAATTCAATGTCTTCTCCAGCGCAAATCTTCTTTCTTTTAAGTGTTCGAGTTGGGGTGTGGATGTTATTTTATGATTGTATAATCCTATTTCACACTTTTTATTGTAGTTTTCTACTTTGCCTTATTATGAAATGTTGAATTATTGTTATGTTGTAGAGTGTTTTGTTATGCATATGTCATTATTGATCTTTTAGTACTTGAATCTATGTAAGCTCGGTAAGTTTACACAAACTCTGAAGTTTGACAACCTTATATGGTAAATCTTATTATGAGATGGGTGTTATGTCAGATGAACGCCTAATTTAGTTCAGGCATGGAATGGTGGACCAACATTGTTATATGGTTCCTATATATTTGTTCATAAATAGCGAGTATATATCATGTTGAGTGAAGCTAGATGAATCTTATACTTCTGAAGTTTATTAGTAATAAGGAATTACTACTAGTATTAAATTTCAATATTTTCATTCACAAAAGGAAAAATGGTACAAAATGCAGAAAATTTATCTCAAAATAAAATCAAGACGTTAAAATTGAAGTTTTCTTTTTGTGGGATGAGTGTTGAATGACTGTAAATTTGTGTATTGCTGTAAATTATAGTTATTGATATAATTATTTAAGAACATCTTTGGTGAGTTAAGACTCTAAACTCACATTTTAAGATTGTATTAGATTCTACCTAGTGATTTTTATTGGTCCTATTATGTCATTTGCTATCAAACTGTTATCAAATTATCCACAAATGTGCATCTTGCAAATTTCATGACCAAAATGTTCAGTCTTCAACGTAAAGGGTGTGTGTTGGAGATCTCAAAACACACGTGTTTCTAAGATATTCTTTTTATGCAAAATTTATTTTTAGTAGCATAATTTTTTTTGTAAATGCACACTTTATTTCATATTTGCCGAGATTTGTCCTATAAAAGCTTTGTAATTTCAAATAGTTGAGCAAATATTGTCTTGACTCTTGAGTTACATATCCAAGATCTTTCGACACTTTGACTGTCATGTCATGAGTAAGAAAAGAGAGGGGGCAGGGGAATTTAAAAGACTAAGGGAGAAGTCGTACTTTCCTGAGGGATTACCCTGTACATTGACCAAAAGTCACTATCATTTTGAATAAGTTATTTGGAATTTTTGGTTAATACTAGGTTCTGCTAACCATGTTCAAACAGTTTCTTTTGTTTAGCATACATGACTTTGGTAAATTTCAGAAAGGGAGCACATACTTTTGGTGTTATGTTTACTATACTGTTTGTCGGAAGATGATTATATTGCATAAATATATTTGGGCAATAAAATTATTTTAGCTTTTCTTTATACTGGCCAGCAACTTTCAATTGTCCATTTGTTTTCCTTCCAAATATTTCATAATCTCATTTCTTCATTTATAGACATTTTAATTGCCAGAATTTCAGTTATCTTCGAGTTTTCAAGACGGATTCTGTTGATCTTATGTTCTCTTCTTGTTGATAAAAGAAGAGGGTATTGATTGAAACGAAGAGAATATGCATCTGAAGGGACAAAAAGATTCTATTGAAAAGAGAAGCTAAGTATCAAACCAAAATGAAAATGATAAAAACCCCTATAAATTTTTCCAATCCCTCGGCTTATTTGTATGCAAGAGAAGCCAAAAACACAATCCTTATACCACATCAGAAGCAAGGGTAGAGATAGACCTTTGAAATTATGGCATTCCTCTCTGACCAAATGCACTGAAGAACTGCATAAACTTCCATTGCCATATAATCATAGCCTCCTTTTTCCTGCCAAATGCAACACTCCAATTTTTTTAAAAGGTATTTTTATAATTAATGGCATTTTGTAATTTTAATAAAGGAATAAGGGTATTTTTGTAATTTTATTATTAATGGCATTTTCGCAATTTTATTAAAGTTTGAGGGGTAAAAGGGTAACTTGGAACAGACTGTTCCAAGATTGGAACGGGCCGTTCCAAGCAATAAAAATATACTGAAATGCCGTGTTAAATCTTGGGGCCAGCTATCCCACCCTTTGAAGTGCTTCCAACTTAACGAGGATATTAGTTACTACTATCGGCGGTGGATACTTCATGGACGAACCTAAAAAAAAAAAATAAAGAAAAGAAAATACAAGTAAAAAATATATTTTCTTGTCTAGTTTAAAAAAAAAGTAAAGAAAAGAGTTATTTCAAGAAATAAAAATTTATTTTTTCTTTTCACTTTTTTTTCTAATTTAAATTTTAAACTTTTTTTTTACCCTGTTTCCTCATTCCAAAATTCAAATGCAGATTAAACTTGGTCATTTTGGTTCCATTTGAGTTAGATCTTGTTTGGATAATTTTTTTTTTTGAAGTACTTTATAAAAAAAATAGAAAAGAATTCATAAGCTTTATTTTATACATAATTTAAAAATAATTTTTTTAGAAAATTAATATGAAAGTTAGGTCTATTATTTATTAAATTAATATATAAATATTTTTTTAATTATAAGATTGGGCATGCGGGAGGCTAGATGTATGGTGAAGTTGTCCCAGAAATTTGAAGATGCCGGCGAGGAAGTTTTACTGCGATTACTGCGACAAGCAATTCCAAGACACACCAGCTGATCGGAAACGACACGTTAAGGGCATTCTCCATCAGCAAGCCAAAGCTCGTTGGTACGATTCCTTCAAACAAATCCCTAATCCTAATCCACCCCTCTGCTTTCACTTGCTCAACACGGTACGCTCTTTTCATTTCTCAATTCTCAATCATTCATTCATTCTCTCTAACCCTAATCTATGTTTTTTTTAGGGATTTTGCCGTCACGGCGAGTCTTGCAAGTATCTTCATCCCACCAAGTCCCCAATCGAAACCACTCCCTCTCCGGGTAATTAATTAATCTTTAACAATTTGTATGACACGAGAATGAAAATAATAAAAATGGCATTGCAGGGAATGTGTTGAATCTGCCTCCGTCGCTCCAACCCCCTCCTCAGGGTGGATATCCCCACCTTCCCTTTCTTGACTGGGGATAGATAGACACCATGCCGCACCACAATGCAAATTTTTATCCCTTTTGGGGTGGTTTCAGTTTTCCATGTTTCATACACAAACATAAGTGGAACTTCTGATATGAGAGCCTTTCAATGCGTTTCTCTTCAAGTGATTATGTTCAATGCATAAACCTCATTCTATCTAAAGTGGATTTGTTTCTTGCACAAGGCCAGATTTTGGTCAACCCATTTTGCTACTCACAATTCCACACTCACAATTCCATCGGTTTTATGCCTTCTACATGGAAATCCACTGACTCTGCCTCAATTATGTTTTTATGGTGTTAGTCAAAAATGGCCGAGCAATGGATATTTTGACGAGAAAAAAAAAAAAAAA